GACAAGGATAAGGCAGAGACGAAGTCAGACAGGCAAAATGGTCAGTTCAGGCAGAGCAGCATACACGTAGAACAAGCCAGAGGTTGGATATCAGATAAGCAGACAGAAACAGGGAACAGCTTGATAGGAGTCTGGAGCACAGAATACTCAACAAAGATAGAAGGTCTAAGCAGGCTCATACAGGAAAGAGGGTGGAGTACATTTCACAGGTGTCACACCTGTCTCCTGGGACTTCCTTCTGGAAAACGCCTAATTCCCCTTTAAGATGCTTCTGTTCTTGCGTATGTGCCTAAAACATCAAGTCGGAGAGCAGATTCAGCTGATGTGGCTCGGAAGCCACAGTCTCCTTAGGTGCAGTGTGGAGAGGAATGTAGGAAGTGTCTAATCGGGCGGGGGTTCTGTGGTCGGGCTGGTCTGGAGGCTGATAGAACCAGGGACAGACAGACAACAATTATGGAACTAAGAGTCAGACTCAACTACAACAGAATAGCAAAGGAAAATCAGAAAATAGCAGTATTCTACATTGCTATTTTAAGTAATCATGCTTTTTTAAGTTAACAAAACTCCTCCATGAGCATTTCGCTTAATATCAGCAGAAATAAATGCTAAATACCCCACCACACACTCTGATATGTTAACTCGAAGGGGTCAATACTCTACTGATCTAATGGGTGTGTAGGCAGACCAGTTATATACTGAATCTCCGTTATGTCTGCCCTCCCAATGGGAGTAACACAATGAATACAGAACTGAACGGTCTTTTGTCATAGATACCTGACTGATCACATGATCGAAATAAGAAATGAACTAATAACATGTGCCATTTAGGAGATTGAGAAATCATGGTCATAGAACTCTGTTGACTTAACGTAATGAATACAATATGCAATAAGTCCAAAGTTGACATCTGTTGTTTGATTATGATGAAGATTGAAAGATATTGGGAAATATAATTAATTACTTAAATGTAGCACAAAAAATCAAAATCAAAAATGAATTATATATATTTACTTTTCATTGTAACTCTTTCACTTGCAGTGTGCATGTTACATATTGTTTTTTTAAAGAAAAATATTGCTTTCTTTTAGATATACATTTTATATGTACCTGTATGAATAGTGGCTAAATGTATAAGTGCACATAGAAACCAGCATAAGCAAGACAATTCTTTATTTTTTATTAAAATATCTGTGTGATTTAGAACCTAGTCTTACTCACGATATTGGATGGTAAAATAAATATCAGTTCCAGCGTAATAATTTTCCTGGTGTAAAGCCATTTTTCTTTTACCAACACTGGCAACCAGTGAAAGTAGGATCACAGTTGGAACAATTTGTGACATTTTTCTCATTGAGAATAATGGGAGCTGTTAGCCACTGGCTTTTTAGTAGTGGCTGCCAGTAACTCCTTGTCACTACTTGTGAAGTTGGCAGACATTTAACAGCCACTACTTAATAAAAGTAGCAACAGGTATCTTAGCAGTAGCAGCTGACTAGTAAAAAGTAATGACAGCTATGGATATAAGCAAGTTTTAAAACTGGGCAAGCACAGAATATCTGGCATTAATAAATCCAAATTCCACATCTCAATTCCTAAGTCTATTTAATAAATATTATAACCCATTACTATTTTCATGCTTCACAATGACATTTTTCAACTTGCTCAGTAAGAATATTATAAACCCATGTAATTGATGGGCAAGCACAGAATATCTGGCATTAATAAATCCAAATTCCACATCTCAATTCCTAAATCTATTTAATAAATATTATAACCCATTACTATTTTCATGCTTCACAATGAAATTTTTCAACTTGCTCAAAGAATATTATAAGCCCATGTAATTGATTAGGCATGATCAGTAGTAAATGCCCTTTTGTAAACTATTAATATTTATTTAAATTATTATTATTATTTTATAAAGCAAGATGTAAGGATGAATAAAATGTAAACTTTTTTTTTAACCATTCTATTATTATTAGCATGTATAGATCCTGCATCACTTTATAATTCTAAAAAATATTTAGAGATGAAGAAGACCCTGTTCAAACAAGTTTACAATCTATGAGGATTTGAGGTAGGCAGATATATATCAATAATTTTAAGTCAGGACAGAAGACTCATATTTTGCATTATTTTCTTTACTTAACTTCCAATAGCAGTAAAGTGATGCAATGTAAAGACCAACCAACCAAACAAAAACAATGGGCCTATAACCACATCGCCCTTAGACTACCTCCTCATTTTATACTGGTCAACCTCTAGGTCAGAGTATCATTTGCATTGCACAATTGTTTTTTTCCGTGTATATCTTATTTATTCTATACATATTTTATTTTGCCCTATTTGTATATATTTTCCTTGTTCTCCTTTCCATTTTGGGTTCCTTATCTCGGGCTTTGGGTACTTACTGCACAAGGGTTTCTCCCTCTCTAGCCTTTCCTGACACCTGTCAGTCCCTCTCCCCCTATCAGGGTCACTTGGCAACCTTCTCTGTATGAGCACCCATCACCCTTTACTTTTGCTGCATTCATGCGCATTGCCAGCTGTGGGACCATAGCACTTGCTGTATGCTCACATTGTAATTTGGTGCCTTTTTTTGTCTCAATTGCCCTCCTGTCCAGCAACTGAGATCAGACGTCACCTTTTGCTGAAACTCCCTTTCCACAGTTGCTACCCTGTGGATTGCATTTATACTCAAATGTATTTGCATTTCCCATGCCGAGTGAGCCCCTGTACTTGCAATCCACTACCATGGATGCACCCCAGGCTGTCAAAACTTATTTTCACCTAAAGGGTCTTCCAAAACCTGCATAGGCAAGTGTAAAGCTCCACTACCAAGTGAGACTAGAAAACTCTGCTATGTAGCTGCAAGGGGATCTCTGTTACACCTCGGCCAAGCATGAACCTCCCATCCAGCCTTAATATTGTAACTGTGAATTATTCTAGCATTAGTGTCTAATAATCTGCATTACAATAAAGACAGGAGGTGAATATCCAACCCCTTGGACTCCTGTTCTCAGTCTGTGGTATTATTTACCCTGTTGCAGTTTACAGATTATTTATTTCTTTACTTTTCTTAACTTTTATTTTTTATATCTAATGGGTAATGTTAAAACAGCTAAACTGGCTATTGCTGGAATCCTGACACACTCATCTTTCCAGTCTTGTGCATAAAAGCTTTTCTGGGAAGCTCTCCCCAGCTGTTGCCACCTCCTATAACCTCCTATCCAGTACCAGCACAATATTTAGCATACCGCAATACAAAAATATAGTGGCTTGATCCTCATTTTCCTACAATTATGGAATAACCTCAGGGACACAGTCAAATCTTCATTCAATCTAAAATCCATTAAGAGATCTATGGCAATATACCTCAATACAGAATCCACCTGTCATGGTTGACTATATTTATTACCTATTATGTGTTAAATTTATATTTGTGTGTATGTATATTTATATTATTTGTATATTGTATTATTATTATTTTTTTAATATTATACCTTATTGTAACAATATAATGATGTTTTGTGGACCCAGAACATACTTGAAAACAAGATAAATCTCAATGTATCCTTCCTGGTAAAATATTTTATTAATAAATAAATGTGTTTCACCGTATCCTATAATTTTTTGCTTCCTGTCTATTAAAATTCAGATTATCAGACACTAACACTAGGTTAATTTACAAATGTCTAACCCAAGGACATTTACTGGTAAGGGGGTCTGGCCAGGAATGAACATGGCTTTTTATCACCAACCTCACCAGATCTGCTTGCTGTACATATTTTTTGTGTTTTTAACATACTAGTTTTATTTTTATTGAGCATTTCAAATTTCATATGTGTCCTACTACTTTAAACACACCAGATTTGTATTCTGCTATTGCCCATAAGGGCGAGAATAATCCCCCTACGTAGACTATTGCTAGATTTTGGAAAGATTGTAGGATCCAATAAGAGACCTGAAAATATCAGTTCTTTTCAACTTTACATTTTTAGCAATTGATATACTGTCCCCATGTCTTTTGGGACAAAACCAAAGCCCTCATGTACTTGACTCCAATTATGGCTTACCATTAACAAAACATAACCTATTTAATTTATGAGAATATTTATGGGGTAGCAAATATTAAAAAGAACACTTCACAAAAATTATCAAAAATTTATCAATTTTATTAAAATCAAAATTCAATATTTAATAACTTTATATAAAAATACAGGGAAAAAAGGGTAGCACGCTCTATAGACCTTTTTCGATACCAAGGGCTGGTGAGCTGATGGTGGACTTTCTGCATATCTGAACATGTTTTTATCACGTTGTTGAATAAATATTATACTTATCTAATATCCTGGTCGCGAGTGTATCCTATGGAACCCACGCACGCTAGGGGCTTATCCTCCCTGAGCGCTATAGCAACGAGTGATGCTTTAACCACTCTTATCTTGTGAGTGAAATAATTAAAGGCCCTTACTAGTTTTAATATACATTTATTACTGTGTTGCACTAAGAGTTCATTCTTTCTTTTTTGTCTCCTAGATACCAGAATTGCGATTTAACTACAGTGGGACCTCGGTTTACTAATTTAATGCTTTCTCCGGGATGTTTCTTATTGCGAAAAATTTGTAAACCGAAACGCGGTTTCCCATAGGAATGCATTGAAAACCAATTAATCCGTTCTGGAGGTCAGAAAAAAGTCAAAATGAGCTGGCATGGAAACCAACCCACAATACAGAACACACAGTAAAAGGCATGCAAACAATGAATCTCAGCTCACTACCTTTCCACAGCTTGAGAAATGCACCAAAAAGTCCCAAAACAACTGCAAACAATTTCCAGAATGGCTCCAAAACTCGATGCAAAAGCTGCTCCAACAACTCCACACTCGACGCCACGTGCTACTCACAGGCTCCAGCATGCAGGGGGCGGTGCTATAAACCTCCCAGGTGCAATGCATCCTGGGGAAACTTGCTTTGTATTGCGAAACAAATTTGTAAACCGAGGCATTATTTTCAATGGATTTTAATTTGTAAACCGAAAATTATGTTAGGCGAGGCGTTTGTAAACCGAGGTCCCACTGTACCTTGCAAGTATATGCACATGTTACATTGCATGTCACTTGTATTACAATTGCTCTAATTGATGGTTTCAATACATTTAGATCTAACCTAGGTTTTTGACACACTTTCTAATTGTGAATTGCACGTAGTATTTTATGAAGTTTTTACCATTTTCTTCTGTTTCTAAGATATTCACACAGGGTGGTTTTTAATACTGCGCACCATCACTTTGATGTGTTATTTCATTTGAATCTTATTACCAAGATTTTATGTTGGTTGCTGCAATCTACAAATTTGTTTGTAATATTTTGTATTTGCGCCATCTTATTCATAAATGTATACACTAAATGAATAGAGTATTTTTAAAAACATCTCTGTCTTTTACATTCGACTGGCACAAAATTGAGTCACTATTGCTAAATAGTGACTTGCAATATAGCATTGATTTTACCCAAAAAAATTCTGACAAATGTAAGTCATGTAGAGTTTCATCACTTGGTTGTTTCATCATCAATTTCTAACAAATTCATCAATAAAACCTTTACAGATGTATTCTTTAAACCGGAAGTTAAGGAAAATTTCCCATGTAATTGCAAATTTTAGACCAAACCTGCTGGGCTGGAATCAACTGATTTGGAAAATGTTTGCAGTTAAACTATTGTAACCTAAAATGTACAAACAGTTGGTAACTTATCAGGGTTATTTACTAAAATGGGACTTGTTGGGAATTCACCAGGAAATAAAAAAAAAAAAAATAAAGTCAAAAAGCTGAGTTCTAAAAAATTTGATTTGGATAATTTTCTGTTCAGCTATTTTTCCTAAAATATGCATTCTTGTCAAGTTGGAATAATAACCCTTCTCAGTGCGAATAATAACCCTTATTGTTGAGCATTTTTTTTTATTATTTAAAGTTTTTATTTATTTTCATGTTCACATGAGTTGGTACATTATAAACAATGAAAGCTGCAAGGTTACATCATGTTGCAAAGTTACAACATATTGCATAGTGCTAATAATCTTAACAACACTTGTAGAAGATGGCGACATTTAGTCACAAGTTGTTACTGTTGATCATACCAAACTAGTAGAAACGTGGCGACAGTCAGTTACATCCAGATAAGGGTTTGCTTAAACAATCTTTGGCAATAGTAATATATTGTTTTAAGTCTAATCTCCAGAGGTTGATGATATGATTGTTTCTGTGTGTGGTGGAGGGTCGGTTATTGTCAGGGGGTCCTTAGCTTGGTTTCGTTATCTATTTCTGTGTGCTAGAAGTATTGGTTTAAGTTCATGAGTTCTTTGATAGATGTGTGGGTATTTGGTAAGTATGTGGTTTTGGTAAGATCTTGGGTCAGGTAGTCTTACTTTACTTTTGACTTAATGGATCCCATATTTGGGAACATTTTCTGTAGTTCCTATATTTAGCGTATGTTAGTTCCTACATCTGTTTAATTTCCTCCACCCTCAGTATCCATTCCCTGATTGGGGGGGACTGTGTTTGGGTATTACCCTGTAGTTGTGCAGCAGCCATAGCAAGGTGGTTGAAAAGGGATATTTCCGTTCTTGAGAGGCCCTGCGGGGGTAGTAGGAGGATGTAGTGATTAGGTGTAAGTGGGATATCGCTATTGATAATCGTTTGTATGATAGTGTGTATTCTATTCCAGAACTTTGATATCGTCGGACATTGCCACCAGATGTGTGCGTGGTGGGCTTCTTTGTGGTGACACCTCCAACAATGGTCAGTGGTCGTGTTACGTATTTTGTGTATTTTCACAGGAGTGAAGTGCCAGTGGGTGATATGTTTAAAGTTACTCTCTTGAGCCATTAAAGAGGTGGTTGATGTGTGTGCTGTTTGAAGGATAGAGCGCCATTTGTGTTGTGAGATATCAGTGTGAAGTTCATCTGCCCATCGTGTTGTGTAGTTGGGTTGTAGATAGGATTTCTTAGTTAGTGAGTGAGAGGAACATAGCTGTTCGAATCGTGTTAGAGACCGCTCTCCTTTGGGTATTAGGTCTTGGCTTTTAATGAAGTGTATTAGCTGGTTATGGTGTAGGTGTTGATTTCTTGTTTGGGTAGTGACAGTAGGATTTGTGATAGGCTTTTTATTTTGCTATCTAGGGTCACGTCACGCAATTGCAGAGAAGGTCCTTCATGGTATAGGTCATATATCTTCCCTGATTGTGCCTTTTGTAACAAAGGGTTATCTGTGAGCGAGTAAAGTGGGGAGGGGTGTGGTGATATTGTTGTTGCTTTCGTCAACTTGTACCATGTTCTTAGTGTCGCAGTGATAGTTGGGTGGGAATTGTGGTGTCATGGTTGAGATTGGCTTGGTCTAAGCCAGGGGCGCACTCTCAGGGGCATCTCTGAAAATGTGTTTTTCAATTGCACCTATTGTTGTGTCGGTGTGTTTTTAGTCCATTCATAGATTATGGTATAGATCAATATCGGGCAGGTTCAAACCTACCCACTCCCTGCTTTTGATTAGTGTCGCGTGTGCTAAACAAGGAGGCATGTTGGACCATATGAACTATGTGAAAGTGGACCTGATTATGTCAAAAAATGTGTTTGGTAGCATAATGGGGAGTGTCTGGAGAAGATATAGTATACGAGGGAGAAGATTCATTTTCACTATGTTGATTCTACAGAACTACCCAAAATAGGGTCTGTGCCAGGTCGGAGCTCTTTGGCGATGGCTGTCAGCAGCAGGGGGAAATATAGGGATTCCAGTCTGGTTGGGATGTGTACTCCTAAATATTTAATGGATTTGGTAGCCCATGTGAAATGGAACTTATTTTGTAGCTGTGTGTCTAGGAATCTCATTGTGAAGATAGGTAGCAAGTCACATTTAGTTAGATAAGCTTGGAAGTTGAAGACTTTACTGTAGCTCTCAATTTCCGCTAATATAATGGTATCGTAGAGATTGGGTTTGAGATGGTAAATAGAAGGTCATCCGCGAATGCTGTGATCTTGTATTCGTGCTTGTCAATTTCAAATCCCTGGATGTGTTGGTTATCCCTTATCCCTTGAAGAAAAGGTTCAAGGACCAGTATGAACAGGAGGGGTGAAAGGGGGCATCCCTGTCTTGTCCCATTCGTGATGGCTACCCGGTTGCATAATTGACCATTGATACGCAGTCGGCTGTGGGTGACGAATATATGGCCTTCAGCCATTCTTGCCATCGCGGTCCAAAGCCCAAGTGACTCATCGTGTGAATTAGAAGTGCCCAATTGACCCTGTTGAAGGCCTTTCGGCATCGATGGCCAGTAGGGTGCTGTGTATTGTGTGTTTGGGCCCAGTGCATTAAGTTGATCATTTTTGTTGTATTGTTTTTAGCTTCCCTACCCGTCACAAATCCCGCTTGGTCTTGGAGAATGAGACTTGGTAGGAAGGGTTTTAGTCTGGTGGCCATTATTTTTGTCAGGATTTTCAGGTCAATATTTATAAGTGAGATTGGCCTATAGCTTCCGCATATTGTAGGGTCTTTTCCTGGCTTGGGAATTATAGTAATGGTTGCTTCTAGGGCTGATTTGGTTATGGAGGATGATAGTTTCTGTGTGTTGAATGCGTATAAAGGTCTGGGCTTAGTATCTGAGACATTATTTTAAGATATTTTCCTGTGTAACCATCCCGGACCCTTGCCTATTCGGATGATTTTGACTGTGTTTCGGAATTCTTCTAACTTAATAGGATCATTTAGGAACGCTGTCTCGTTGGGTGGGAGAGTATTTTTAATCCTAGGTTTTAGAAAGTTAATGATATCTTCGGTGGATGGTTGTGTGTGTGTCAAGTTATAGAGGTGCGTATAACATTTGTGGAAAGCTTTAATTATGTCAGGCATGTGACACATTGATGTTCCATCTTCTTGTTTGATTTCTGAAATGAAGGTAGACTGTCTGTCTTGTTGTAGGGATTTCGCCAGGATTTTACCTGCTTTGCCTCCTTGAGTATAATATGTGTTTTTCATTAGTGATATTTGCGTTTGGCGTGCAGGTGCAGTAGTGTTGTTAGTTCCGATCTTTTAGCAAGTAGCATTTTGTACCCTTCCAGGGAGGAAGTGCTGTGGTGGTTGCTTTCTAGTGATTTAATTTCCTGAGTAAGCTGGTTGATAGCCTGTTCTCTCTTGCGTTTAAGAGAAGAAGCTATCCGGATTAACTCCCCCCTCAGGACTGCTTTATGAATAACCCTTATTGTGTGTTTTAGTCTATAAGAAAGACAATACAATTTACAGTAATCTGATGTGTGTTTTAAGTGAATTACAGAGCTCGGCCAAAACAGCATTCATGGTGAAATGCCATATTTCCCTACTGTGTAGTTTGGGGAGAGACTGGAAAACGTAGAGTCGATATGGGCAAAGAAGAGATGGGTATCAGTTATTTGCATATTGCATGATATTATGCCATGTGAATGTGCCAAAGTTCAGTGACCGTGAATGTCCAGAGGTGACACTCAGAATTTGCACCTGCTACTGAGAGTGCTGACTACCATTACACATGTGGCCTTAATGTTTATACAAAGCACAGTAACATCACGACAGGACAATAAATCCTGGGTAAAACAGGAGAATATCAGACATTACATTTGTCTGACAGAGTACTGGCATTACAAATACAGTCCTGACTTTAGCCAATTTAATACTATCACTAGAGTCCTTAAAATTGATCTTTATTTGAACACATACTGAAGTCCTTTAACATTATTGAGTTACATAGATAAATGTGCTATTAGTAATTAAACCCCTTGGAACCTCATGCAATAATTTCAGAGCTTGTTTAAAAAATGAAAAGTGACAAGATATTTTGATGCAGAAAATGTATTTCTTTGGCGTTAAAATTATCAAAACCACTAGATGTACAGGGAGTGCAGAATTATTAGGCAAAGGAGTATTTTGACCACATCATCCTCTTTATGCATGTTGTCTTACTCCAAGCTGTATAGGCTCGAAAGCCTACTACCAATTAAGCATATTAGGTGATGTGCCTCTCTGTAATGAGAAGGGGTGTGGTCTAATGACATCAACACCCTATATCAGGTGTGCATAATTATTAGGCAACTTCCTTTCCTTTGGCAAAATGGGTCAAAAGAAGGACTTGACAGGCTCAGAAAAGTCAAAAATAGTGAGATATCTTGCAGAGGGATGCAGCACTCTTAAAATTGCAA